AAAAATTCTATTTAAAAAATAAAATTTTCGAACATTATTTATTATTAGTAACTAAAATTATTTACATAATTTTAACAAATTAATTGAAAATATAATATTACTATAAAAGAATGATTGGTTGCATATACATTAGAATACATATTTCTTAACCAAACAATATTTTTATCAAAAAACATAATGACTTGTAAATATATCAGTTTCTCATTTTAATGAAAAACAATAGTTTTTATTCTAGACTCGGAGATTTATTTATATTTATTAAAACGATTATTTTTATTAACAGCAATTATTTGATTTTGATATATTAATATAATATTTGATTTCATATAACATAAGGATTAATAAGCATAAAATAAAACAATTTAATTCTTAATAAAACCTTTTATTATATTCTTCTTCTTTTATTGTAACTATTATAACAAATTAGTAAACTTTGGCAGATCTATATGTATATATGTATCATATATATTGAATATAAAAATTTGCTTACATCAGTATACTTTATGATTCTAATCAAATTTTCAAAGCATTTAAATGATATAAAATAAATCATTAAATTCGTTTATGTTAAATTATAAATTATTTATTACAATTGTATTCATATTATTTTACATACTATTTTCCTATATATTTAGATTATTGCCACGGCATGAAAATATACGTTTATGTAGAGTTTAAATTCAGAAAATTTAATAAAAATTAAATATATAAATATAAGCACGATACAGTGATTGTAAAAACTATGTTGTAAAAACTAAGTATTTATAAAGTTTTCGGGTTATACTCATGTGTATATACATAGACCAACACACATGCAATTTCATCAATTTAATGAAATAATTTTTTATTAATTTTCATTACTTATTAATATTAATTAATTAAATTACTAATATTAATAAAGCATCGTTAAATGCAATTAATTCAGAATATTTAATAAGTATTTACTAATATTAGTAAATTTTGAAGGTAATTTTTCGTTTTAGTCACTTGTAAAATGTCTAGAAGCATAATAAAGTTATACATGGGTTGATGAATTATGCATTACTCAGTTATTTTATCTGTTGATTTGCATCCATCTTATGAATTTTCTGCATCAAAAGATTTATTAAGCATACACGAGTGTTCATAATGCACACTACACTTAAATATATACAATGATGTATTTTACATATTATTGATACGTGCAACTCTGTACGAACATAATATATGCTTTAAATAATTCATTTACAAACTTCATAATAATATTTTTAAGTTAAATTCTGAGCAATTATACAAATTGGATACTTATAGATTTCATTGACAATATTGATAACGTTTAAGCTTTAAGTAATGCTGTATATGATTTTAACGTAAAATTTTAAACTAAAAGAATTTTTCATAATGATTAATGTATGTTTTCATATAGTTGATTTGGAGTAACTTGTAAATCAAAATTCTAAAATTTCAAATACTTGGTATTCCGTTCTTCGGTGGATGATATTGCAATTAAACGACCAATAACAAAGCATTATTTCATCGCTTAGACTATCCTCGTAATTATGGCGCGAAACCAAAAACCCCAAAAACCTATGTATATCACATATATAGTGATGTCAAGTTATTTTATACAATCAAATTGTTTGGAAATTTTAATTGCATTATATTATTAGCTTATTTTAACCATACTACATAGTTGTTATTTGTGCATTGTACATTATTATGCTAAGTACTATATTATATTAAAAATAATATTATAAATGTAAGAATTATCATTTACTTTTAACTTATGAAATATATTATTTAATAATAATATGGATATTGTATAAAATAAAAATGAATATTTTCCTTTATTTTACATACATTTTACATATATCTCATAGATTTCATCAAATTGAAACTATGATAAAATACATCATTTAACATATTACTAATATTTCCTTGAAGAAGAAAACGCTTAAGTAAAAATGAAAATAATAATGTTTATAAGTGTCAACTTTAAAAGTAATTTAAAAAAAAAATAAAATTTAATGACAATGTCATAAGGAGCGGTAAAAAGTTTTTCGAAATTCATAATTTAAACTAAATATACAAATGCAATCACATAAGTGCACTACCCAATTCAATACAAGCAAACGCCTCTTCCATTAAAAAAATAATAGCAAAGAATAATGTGGACATAGAATAACAAATGCAATTTAGAAATTCTTTGTAATCACGTAGCATACTGGAAATAGTCTGTAAAGAATCATTGCTCAATACATGCGAATGAATAATTGATCATTGTGAAAGAATCATCAATGAAACTATCGCATGAGTCAGTATTTCCATTTTTAGTTTAATTAAACAAATTCTCAACTACTTCGTCTGATTTGCAATCGCACGAAGAACCAAGACATATCAAAGAGTGCAAGTAACAAATCCACAGAATCCGATTTGTTGATTTTGCAAAATGATTATTTAAGCGCGAACTTCGAACCCATTAGTACATTTTCTTATATTCGTATATTTCATTCTTATTTGCAATAAATGATACTTTTAAAGCAAACTTTTAACTCGATTTATTTTACTATGCTCCAACAAATATTTGTAATGATGACGGGCGCAGCAACCACAATGTTCAAGTTTAATTTAAAAGTCTCGTAAGTTATTAGAGGTCTCTAAATCAATATTCAGACACATTTTTAGATACATAATGCACGGTTTTATTAAATTGATTAGATCAAATGAATATTTTAATAATTTATATAAAATTCGAGAATCCTGTTAAATTGCAACAGTACAAGCGAATATAGTTATGTTATAATATTTGTTTATTTCAACTATAAACGAGATAAAATAATTTTTACACAGACTTATTGTTGAGATATTTTACATAGAAAGAGTGAATAATAATTTTATTGAAAAATTACAATTATTATCGGACTTTTTATGAAAATGAAAAAAAAAAAAAAAATTTGAATGCAACTTTCTTATTGATCATTTTTTTAAAAATATATATGATTCGATTTTTACTGTATACTCATTTGTATTGTACATAGATGAAAAAAATTAGTTATAATCAGAAGAATATAGGAAGCATAGTATGAATAGTCATTAAAATATATAGAAAATCATACAAATAAATTTTTTTTTTTTTTTTTTTAATTTACCTATAGAGAAAGGAAAGATGTTTCAAATAAATTTTTTAAAGATTTAATATTCAAAGCTCAAATTTATATTACATTTCTATTTGTAAAACTAGAGATATATATTTTGTGTATAATCAATGTATCTTCAATCCAATCTATGAATGAAACATTATTTATTAGTTAACTAAATACGTTTTATTTTATTGTTTATTTTTATACTTTAGTCTAAAATTCTAACGGAATTTTATAATAATAAAAATGTAATAATTAAAAAATAAAATACAATATAAACGAGGTCAATAGTATAATGAAGATTACAAATAACTTCAATTTATTAATATATTGTACAAAACATTAATATATTATAAATAAAATAATAAATAATTACATTGCTTATTTTAGTAAAAATGCACTACAAACTATAATAGATTATCTATTACAAAATTGCACATTAGTAAAATTTTATTAAAATAAATTCATGTTTTTTTTTTATAAAAATGTCTTTAATACTCTAGTGTCAAAATTATTATGTATGTTCGACGTTAAAAAATGTTAAGGATAAGAAATTTTTTTTTAAATAATACTATACGAATCTATGAAATGATGCTCCTTGATATCAATATTTCTATACCTCATGAAGAACATAAAATTTTGCAATAATAATTTCGGCAAGGCAGAAAAATTTTCGATTCTATGAAAAATGCATCATTATTTTTAAGAAACGCTATTTGTATATTTAGCTGATATAACAAGAGGTCATATAATTCTATATAAAAACTGTCATGCATTATAACAAATTAATATATAACAATTGTTTTTTTTTTTTTTGCGTATGCACTTTATTAATATAACAATTTTATTTATAACGGTGCAGTAAAAATAAAATGTATATTAATTTTCTTAGATAATATCATACACTTACTAATATACTTTAATTTTTTTTTTTAATTTATTCTATTCCAGTAATTTCGATTCTATGTTGATAATCATATGTATTTGAATAATCAAAATTTACAAATATTTTTAATAATCAATTTATTTAATGTTCCAGTATATAGTAAATATATATTGTTTTAGTTGTTAATTTTTAAAGAATTACTATTGCTTCATTAATTATTAATTTATGAAGAAATAATGATAATGTAGTTAAAGTATTTTTGGATTTATTACAGGTTCGATTGATTTTAGTAAAATTTTTATATCTTTTATAAAGAATTCTTCTTGACAAAAGCAACAATTTATTTATGATTTTTCAATGAATTTTTAAAAGAATATTAAAATACGCATAATACATATAAAGAATACAATTAAAATAATAAATAGTACAAAAATTCTTATAAAAAATTTTTCTTCACATAACTTACAGTTTAATCTAAATTTATTTGTCTATAAATGCATTTTTTAAATAGCAAATAATGTACACTCACTTATCACGAAAAAGTATGTACAGAAATTTTGTTTTATACTCAAAATATTTTAATCCAAGTTCAAGAAGATAAACATATATATAATTTATATACATTTATATTTGAAAACGGATATAAAAACAAAATGTTCTTGTTTTCGGAGATCCATGTAATACAAACAAATGTAAACAACTAAATAATTCCGCGCGTACTGTTAAACGAAAAATGCCCGAACCAAGCCGACAACTTTAGAAAAACCTTCAATTTAATTTTAATTTTAATTTTAATTCTCAATTAAATATAACTTATGACCTTCTAGTTCATATCTGTGTTTAATTTGAAAAAAGTTATTTCACTAAACAAGAAATTAACAATCGTTGCATGTTGAAAAAATGAAGTTACAAACTGCTTTATCCAATGCTAGAGAAAAATAAATAAACAAGCTTTACAGTTCCACAAAGGGAAAGCTAACGTTGCTTATTATAAGCTCGCCAACAATTTCGGCTAGTTTAATAATATTTGAACGCAATAGTGAATCTCGATTGAACTTTAAAAATGAAAGGCCTCTCAGTCGAAGTTCTTGGTAACGTTGGTCGTGGGCTCGAGAGAAATCATCTCGCAGCCTGAGTACTGTTTTGCTAATTGACTGGGCAGCAAACTTTCCTGGACTGTTTGTTCGTTACCGTTGCAAGTACGCTCACTGCGTAAACCTTCGCCGCCTGAACCCCGACCTCCGTACTCCGAACTCTGGCTGAAGCACGGCAGAACCTTAGGGAAACATAATAAAAAGTCTGAGGGATATATTTTTTTATGCATCTTTTTTCGTGCTTTCATTTGCATAAACTGGTTGGGTGCTTTTGTTTGCGTTTACGTTGCTGTGAAAAAATATTTCTTATTTACTCCTACGCTTGGAATCTATTTGCTTTGATAACAGTGAAATACGAGACAAACCGCACCTGTTATAAACTTATAAATGATGTATTGCTACATAAGAAAATCATGTTTACAAAATAAAATTATTGCCATGAAAATCCTAATGCATTCTATCATTATTTTTTTTTTAATTTTACTTCACATTCAGCAGTTATGTCGTATTTCATTTAATACAATGTGTACGAGAAATATTATCATATTATTTTAATAGAATATTTATATTTTAAGAACCTTCACATCCCGCATCAAAGTCTTATCATTTCTTAGTTTATGTAATATAAAATTCTATTCAAATTTCATTTTATACTTGTTCACGAGTATTACAACATAAAAAAGATAAAAGATTTTATTGCAATTTTTTTTTATAGAAAATTTTCTATTCTATATTTTTATTAGCCAAGATATTATTTTATAAAATACTGAGTTATAACAATGTTGTTATTTGTTTAAATATAAATAATTATAAAACTAAATAATTTCTTTTAATTATTCGATTTTTTATTGTTTTATACTTTTATTTTATGCTTTATACTATATTTAATTGTTTTATTGCACAATAACTATGTAAAGTTAAAATTGCACTCAGTTCTGCATATATAATTAATATTACATAAAATTATAATATTTATATATAATAAATCTTGAAAAAATTACTAACAATTGTATAATTCAAATAAAAGTTGAAATTCAAATAAATTTATAAACTTTTTTTTCTTTTACAATGAGAAAACAAGAAAATAGAAAAAGACAATGATTACATTTATAAAAATAGATGTATTAATAACATAGTATATAACATAGAAAATTGGTGAAAAACAATACATTGCAAAAAAGTAATTTAGTTTTAATTAGTCCGTAATAAAAATTAAAAATAATTAAAAAAAAATATACTTGTTTAATTATGTATTTTATATTATAATTGATTTATTATACAAATAAGTACACACACTTATATTAGTAAAATTGTTCCTTACTAATGTGAATATATTAAAAGCATAAAATACAAATTATAATATAAATTAAAAATAATTTTTAACAACCTTTTTTTGGTTTTATTTTATTATTTTGGTTATTAATATTTTATATATATATATATATATATATATATATATATATATATATATATATTTTTTTTATATTTTTTTATATACTCTTATATATATATATATATATATATATATTTTTTTTATATTTTTATTTATACTCTATATTTTTTTTAAATATTCAAAAAAAAAAATTAATGCATATTTAATCATTATTTATCTATTCTGAAGGCAGCACTTACGGACAATTTTAAATTGCTTCTAAATTACTAAAGATGTATTCTATTTGATATAGCACTGTCCAATTAACAGTGTCACATTCTGAAATCTAAAGTTTTCTGAATCAAAAATGGATTTTAATTGATATGCTATTAAAACCTTAATGATTTTCCAAAACGAATAATGTCAGAAGTAATTCATTCTTATCTTTAAATAAAAAAAATATTGATTAAACTTTATAAAGTAAGTTAGTTACCAACCGTTTTTTACCGTTTCTTCTTTTGAATAATAATTTTATGATTTTAATTTTATTGTTACTTTGAATAAAGAATTAGATTTAGTTTAAGTGACATGAATTAAAATTATTAAATAGGTTATGAAAATTATTAAAATTTATTAAATATTTCAGTTTATGATAAAGGTAACTGAAATAATAACATTATCAGAAACTTTTTGTCTGCATTATATAATTAGTGCTAAACTTTTTAGCAATAACTTTTCGAAATAATTTTTTTTTTAAATTATCTAAATAATATTATTTAAATGATTTTATAATTTTATTGTTTGAATTAATTCAATTAATAGTATAATAATTTAATAAATTATTGGATAAAAAATTGCTTAAAACTTTTGCATTTAATGATAAAATTTAGACAAAAAATGAAATTTTTAATAATGTTATAAAGGTATTAATATTTATCGTTCTATGATTAAGCTTATTTTACATTTATTTAAAATTTATTTTAATAATAAATATTATTTGAAGCACATTGAAGACATAATGATAATTTAATTGAAATTATAAATGTTTTATTTACTTTATGTTTTTATCCGATAATAATAATATTTTGTATTTATTAAAATTAATAATTTTAATAATTGTGTTAAATTGTATTAAAGTAATTTTAATAAATTAATAAAATTAATAATTATTGATTACATGTAATATATATTATAAAAGAAAAGTATTAGGACAGACATTTTTAAAAATATTTTACACTCAATTAAAAGTATTTTGAAAAAATTAATCTTTATTATATATTGCAAATTATTACATGATTATTTAAATAATGCATTCTATTGAAAAATACTTATTATCAATAATTAATTTATAAGTAAATAAACTTTTTATAAATTTTCATTTTTCTATAAATAATAATAATAATAATATAATAACGAAAATTTACGTCGAAATTTATCAACATTTTTCAATATTGAACTATTACGATATGATTTATACAACATTTTATTGATAAAATAAAAGGAAAAAAGATATTTTTCACAAAACATTAACTGGTCGTTTTAGAATTTTTTATAACTCAGATTATCTAAACAAAGTAATAATAATAATGAACTGTGTGACGATAACATGATCAGCTATAACAAAAAATTACCTGTTTAAACTCTTTCCGAAAGTTGTCATTTAACCAGGCATAAAGAAAAGGGTTGTAGCAGGTACTGCTCATTGCCAAACAATGCGCCATGAAGAACAATACTTTATAGAATGTCCACTTCATTGCTGGTGGATAAAAATCCTCGACGACATTGACAATGTTCAGAGGTAACCAGCTGACTCCGAAAATTGCAACCATTGCTATGAGCATGCGATTAGTTCTTTTCTTTCGCTCCCTATCGGTTTCTTCCCTTCTGCTCGTCTTGCTGCCTGGTTTCATCCTTGCACGGTCGTTCAATCTTACCGAGACGCAAATATAGCAGAAAGCAATTACAACGAAGGGCAAAATAAATTGAAGTATGGAAGTTAGTGAACTGAAGGTCATCCGGAACGGCTCATCTGGCCATGCTTCTTCACAGTAGCGATTCTCATTGTTCCTTTCATCCGACTGAGGCTGCATATACAATCCATAAGGAAGAGTCAAAAGAAGCGCCACTATCCATATTGCAATAATAATTGACTGACACATGCAGATTTTCATTCTAGGTCTGAATGGATAAAGGATGACGAGAAACCTGTCGATAGCTATGCTTGTCAGTGTTAGGGTACTAATGTAAATGCTAACGCCCTGCGCGTATGGCACTAGGTGACACAATGTGTCTCCGAATACCCAACTTCCCAAAAACGTATATAAGGGTGTGAATGGGACTGCTAGAACGCAGAGTAGAACATCGCTAAGGGCGAGATTGGTGATGAAAAGATTCGTGACTGTTTGCATTTGACGATTGCGAACGACGACGAAGCAAACGAGAGCATTGCCGAAAAATCCCAGGAGAAAGATACTTGCGTAGAATATGCCGATGATTAATTTGAATGCAAGATTCGATGTTGTAAAATCTTCCATAAAAGGTGTCGTGCTATTGTCAATGCAGTTGGTGTGAATGCAGTTGTTATTGTGGCTAAAAATGTCTTCCTCCATTACACGACGATGAGCTGACATTTCAAAGGTAATGGCAATTAGGCACAACTATTAACGAGACTCAGAGAATAATTGCATATTTGATAACTGCAACAAAAGACGTTAATATAAGTTTAAGCAATAATAATTAAATTATCGTCTAAGAATAACTTTCTTCTTTAAGAAAGCACAGTTTTTTAATAAAAAGTAAGCTAATCATTGTATGTACACTCTATATACGTAAATTACATTATATATGCTTCGATTCATATTAAAATCATAATGATAATAATAATAATAATTAGCAATCATAAGCGTAATTAAAAGAAGAAAAGCACAAGATTATATTGACTTTGGATAATTACTTTTTAAATTTTATACAGACGTATCATCAGATTTAACTGCATTTTATAGGAATACTAATATTACAGAATGTATTATGAATTAATTTAAATAGTATTCAGCGTCAAAATCCATTATAAATGTGATTTCACGGAAAGTCAATTAATAGAATAGTCGTCTAATGCAAGTGCTAACAGTTATATAATTATCAATTGTGATTATGGGAAAGTTGTGATTCAATATTTTATTTTTTATATGCACACTATTAAGTCTGCTTTTAAAATATATAGAAATTATATATATATATATATATAATCTATATAAATCACGTATAAATCATTAAGAAATTATTATCAAATAAACAAATAATCTAATGAGGCAAGTACGAGGTTTGATATTCTGAAGGGATTATGCTTTGGCTTTTGATTAAAATAAAGACTTATTTTAATGGTGCAAAAATTATATTAATTCCAAAGCACATACGGATGATTTTCAAAATATTATTATGCAATTTCTTTCACTTTTCAATTTGTTTACCGCCTACTGTTTATTTTCTCTCTCTCTCTCTCTCTCTCTCTCTCTCTCTCTCTCTATTTCCCTCTTATTTCCATTTGTTCTACAGAAACAATAAGAATAAACAACATTTTCAATATAACTTCTACACTTTATCTAATTAGTTAAAGAAGTAAATTTACATTTCTGTTACAAGTTAATATGAGTTTCAAATAATTATTAAAATTATTCAGCTTATTATCACTTAATAAAAATATAAAATCCTGTATATTAGTATTATATATTCACAGTTTAAGTAAGTAAATAAATATTGAATTATTTAAATATTAACTGTATAAAACTTAATATGTAAAGTTTTAAATTTAACGTCGTAATATTTATTATCTTCCATCTAAACTGAAGGTTTATTTGATCTCTTCCTAACCATAAAAATTGCATTCTTATTGACAAATTTTATTTTGACAAAAAGAACATTTATTTTATATTATAATAATTATAAAATACTATATACTACTCAATTTCATTCTTTTTGTAATTTAAAAATTTTAAATAATTCAACATTCTTTGTGCGTAACTTAAAGAAAATCTAAAATCTAGTCTTGCTTATTAAGTAAATATTTAACATAATTAATTTTATAATAATTAAAAAATTATCAATTAATTATTTTAATTTACAAATCAATATAAAAATTCACTTTATATTTTTTTGAAAAATAATTAATCTTTCGGTGTTAGATTTATGATACGGCAACTCTCAAAATCAAAGTGAATAAAGCATAAATAAATAATGAACAAAAAATATAACCAATATAAAATCATAAATATTAATATTTACTGAAAATGTTAAATTTCAAATGTATTTCAATTATTAACATTGTATTATTGTGGACTACTTATATTAATTAAAAAATATTTCAAAATCGGAAATATTAGCATTACAATTATTTAGTTTATATTTTTATTACATGCACATAAATATCTAAAGTAGCAATATATAAAAATACGTGTATATAAATAAATTTTAACATTGTAGAAATTATATATTGCATCTTATCCATTGCATGCTTTTTAATTTTATATAAACTGTAATATATGTATAAGTATACATTTAGAAATGTATATATAAAGTTTAATATATTTATAAGACCTTAAAAATATATATATATATATATATATACACACTATATATACACGCTACAAAGCAATCAAATTAAATTAATAATTAAATGAAATTAATATTATGTTCACTTTATTCTCTTTATTCATCGCCTAATTATAATATAAATATATTATGTAATATGTTTAAGAATCTTTATCAAGCTTTTAGTTATGAAATAACATTTCTTAAGAAAGTAATTACGGTAATTAAAAATGGTCAATAACCATTTGCTTTTTTCAAATTAAACAATCAAAATTTACGATGAATTATTTTCACAAAATACAGAAAAAGTCCTAATGTATAATAGAAAAGCTATTATAATTGAAAGGAAAAAAAGCAAATTTATTAATACAAAATTTCCAATAAGATATATTTTGAGCAACATCATTAAATTTATTGTGCAATTTAAATTTAATGTTCAAAGAGGAAAAAATTTAATAAATGAAAATATTTTGAAATAATTTTTCTTATTAATATGAACGAGTATGTATTATAAATAAGTATATTTAATAATTATTATTTTCTTCAAGCATTAAAAATTTCTTTAAATGTATTATTAAGTTTATTACTGAATATATTCGTTGTTAAATAAGGAACGATTAAACAAGAAAAACGGAATCAAATATAAAATTGCTCTTAAAAATCAATATAATAAAATTTCCGTAAAACAAACGCGATAACTACTATGTAAATTAAAAAAATTAAATATAAGAAAAGTAATAAATAGTCGTTCATGCGTAACTATAGTCATGATCATAAACACCTGTTGAAGATTATAGTCGTCCATACATTGTAGAGTATTATAATATTCAAATTGTATATCTTTGTATATCTCTTTTAAATTTTCTGGATATATTGATTTCTATGAATTTTTAATTTATAATCATATCGATAAATTATAAACAACGTAGTTCTAACTTTTATTCTTGTTTGGTGTCCTTTAAGTTTTTAAGTTAATTTTATAAATATTATATTTATAAAGTGCACAGCTATAGTATTAGATTTTTAATTTTACTTAAAATTTTTATTAAATAAATACGTTGAAACATATTTCTAGTGGATGAAATAATGAATCTTCAATCAGGATAATTTTTCAACAAAAGATTACTATTGCATATTTATTTTGTGTTACAAACTACAAATTAAAATTATTTAAATTAAAATATGAAAATTTGTATTTTTAGATGCACAGTTTGTTAAATAATTCGGTATTTTGCATAATGTTGGAATCAATAACAAAACTTTTAGCAGCGTTTTCTTTTATCTTGTATTTGAGAAGATGAAAATATTAAATGAGACAGTATAAATCACCATATAAATCGTCATTTGATTCACCGTCGTTTGATTCAAATTTGACATAATAATAATAAATTATAATTTTTTAATTATGAAATGATGTAAATTTTGTAAACTGAATAACACAAAATTAAATAACTTTTTAAACTGCTATATTTGTTTATAAAATAATTTTTAAAATATGGTTGGTAATTGTAATAGAAATTATATTAAATAATTAATTTTATATCAACATTTTATAATTACGTTTATTTAAAAACTTATTTTTATCAGCCCAATCTATCTTTCTCCCCCTCTCTTTCTCTTAAAACGTAAACATATACTATCGCGCACAATACTTCATGGTGAATTTAACTAACAAATTTGCTTGTAATATTAATGTAATATCGTTATCCCTTTTGCATAATCATTTTGTAAAAATCTGTGTAAAATGTTTAATTTTTCATTACTTTATTTTTATCAAAATATATATCAAATTAATGTATATTTATTGTATTTAACTGAAGATCTTTTAAAAACTTTGATATCAATTTCATTCAGTCTCAACAGAAAAATGAGATTTTGGTAGCATAATTTTTATGGATAGAGAGAGAGTATTTGAAATTATACGATGGTTTGTTTTTTGATTTCCTTCAATAAGAATAATTTATTTAAATAAAAAATTATTGAAAATGCAGTTTTGAAGATTATTTATTGGTTGAATTTGACTTTTTCCCGTAAACTTTCAAGTTTAAGAGGAATTTATTTTATAAATTATAATTAAATTAATTATATTCTTCAATTATACATTAAATTGACCAAAAATTTAATTATAATATTTTTATCAGATGCAAAATATATTCTTACTTAAAGATTATTTATTGGATGGAATTAAATTCGTCTGTGTGCTAAATTTCTTTTGACTTTAAAATTCTGTTATTTAAATAAATCTAATTAACGTTCAAAAGTAGTAACTAATTTTCAGTAAATTTCTATTACAATATAATAGTTGATGATTATAATATAAGAAACTAATTTTTCATTCAAGATTTTCTTGCTTTTCTTATTTGAATACACATGCGAATATTAATTTATAATTTAAATCTTTTCCTAATAATGAATACACTGCAACTGAAAGCACGCTAGATCGAGGGAATTAAACCTCAATTTATGATATTTTCAAACTTCATATAAATATGTAAGATCTTATAGATATTAAATATATTTTACATTAATATTCTACACATTAAATCACTTATAAAAATCATGTATTTTTTATGAAAGATAATAAATATTACTTTTAAAAAAATTTCTTATTTCACGTATTAATAAATAATATTTTGTGAAAAAGTTATTGTATCTTCACCCATAATAGAATTTTGTTCAAATAAAATGTTCCAATATATAGCATTTATGTTTATTCAAAATTTTTCCAATTTAATGTAAATGCCTACCATGAAAATAAAATTTCCTTAATTTTATTACTAAAAATTTATTTTTTATTTTAATTATTTAACAAAATAATTGTTAAATGGAATATTTAAAAAATTTCAGAATTCTATAGTTATTATATAGTTTTAATAAGACTTTTCTTAATATACTTTATAATTTATTGAGTTTTTAAATGACACTTGCGATTGAAATAGATGAACGTATTGAGAAATTTTGATTTTATTACAGATCTTTATATGTAACCTATACATGCATTTTGCACTATTATATTAAAAATTTTTATAAATAATTTAACGATAAAATATTCATAAAAAATGATATTTTTCTGTATTTTAATTAATGCTTATACTAATATTTTACATGCTTTGTTTAATATTATAATTATATTTTTTTTTTTGTTACAAAATTCACAAAAAAAGTACAATACATTTCAATTAATCGGTAGCCTCTATTATATTTCGAAAGCTTCCTTCTGAAAAAAAAATAAATAAATAAAAAAAAGAAACACGCCGTATAGAAATATTTTATATTTAGACTTTCGTATCAATAAATTAAACAAAGTATGCGCCTACTTATTATAACGTTCACAATTGAAAAATAATTTAAAAAATCATCACAAGCTCCAATTTTCACTCTAATTTTCACATATCACAGTCAAATATAACACTTACTATGGAATCAACGTTACATGGGTCGAGTGCAAATCCATTTATAAAATCAGTGTTACATAGATTTCTTCGAAGAAGCGATGTTTACAGAATCAGAAGGTCCTGCTATAACATCTCTAGCAATAAAACCTTCTCTCTACTGTTTCCTAACCATCGATATAAATAAATATCCAATTATGCATTTATCAATCTACCTATGTATTTATTTTTTATGCAAATGTATTATTCATTAGCTCGGTATCTCTCGGCGTCATAAGAAATTATTAAACGCTCATATTTGGCCGCACTGGGATGCCAGCATCTTCGTATTCTCGATTATTCACTACGAATGTGCTTGTAGACTTTAGAACCGAATTATGTCACGGTACATCAGCCCTTCCTTCTATATTTAAGCGATAACCGCAATAATGAGCGGCTCTCAACAAACCCTAGCCGTTATTCTCTATTTGCATAATTGAGTGTTAAGTTTTCGTTGGCACATCTAATCTTATATTTCTATACCCATTCATCTACGCTTTGGTAGATGAACTTTTGTACTTGAAATTCTAAATAGATGTATTAGTCAATCCTCGAAAATTAAGCTACTTGGAGGAAAGTTAAACTGAGCGTCGGACAAAAAAGCGGCGCGATTTCAATATCGTAGTGTACGATCTGCTGATCCTTCGGTACTCGACTGACGCGGTAATTCAAGCGCTACTGGCTTTGCCACATGGCGAGTTGCGCTTATAAAACACGGCGTTCGACGCACGCGCTCTTCATCCGGTTGAAGCTCTCGCGAAGAAAATTCCAACTTCCTTGGATTGGTTGTTGATGTTTCGAAAGAAAATAAAAAATTATTTGTAATAAGAAGGCCACTTTATCAATTACTGATGAAAGTGATGATGCGCTTACATCTTATAATGCTCTTATAACGAACGCTCTACGTCGAATGCGGACGGCGGTCCTTCGATGAAACCGACAGAAAAATTGCGGCTTTAATGTACGTTTATCTTAATTATTGAAACATTCGAATTTTAATTATATATAAGTGATTCAATTGTTTGATAATAATAATTTCTGACAACGCGATACCAGTCAATCGACCAAATCAATTTACTTCGATATTCTCAAAAACTCCGCAATTTCAATTCCATCTTTTTATATAATAATATTAATAATAAAGGATGCTATTAAAGGACATTATTAACATTTACGTTATACTTAATGAACTATAATAAGATTATTTGTTCCAAAAATTAGAGCAAAGAAGAAAGTAATAATAAGGGATTAGAGGACATTATATAGAAATAAATTTCATAATTTTTCTTCTTATCTAAAATATTAATAAAAATAAAAAATAATAACCAATAAATAGAAATATTTTCAAAATAATAAAAATTTTGCTTATGTGTTATAAATTTCAACGACAATAATTAAACAGTAAATTTACATTTATTAAAAGTAATGCTTATTTACTTACTTTTGTTCCTATATTACTACTGTAATGTTGCAATATTTTCGTACATAATAAATGATTAATATAACAATTAATTATCTTAACAATATTTTATTTCTCGGTGAATTATTAAAATAAATACAATAGAATGCAATAACATAAAATTTTCTACTAAATTAAAAAATTATTTTGGAAATAAGACTTTTAATAAGTTATACACATATTTTCGTTTATGTAACATTCGTGGTAATAATTCATGAGATATAAATTAATTTGAATATTGATTTACAGCTTAAAGCGTAACATTATTGCTCGAGTTTTACCGCAAGTCGAAGAAAAAACTATCATCTCATACATTGCATTTTACAACTGTCACAAATTGGGAAAATTTGCATTTTCATTACGAAATTTTTCATCTGCTAAGATTCATAAAATAGAGTAAGAAATATTTAATATGATTTTATTATATACATTACATTATACAAAAATAAAATGATTTATATATATATATATATATATATATATATTAATATACAATGAATTTGAAATTTGATTTGAAATGTATTTGAAATGTATAATGAAAAATATATTTGAAACTCTGTAAAAGAATATTGTTAAATAAAAAATTTATTAAATATTTTTCAGTAATTGTTTAGAATATAGTTTAATATAAGTGAAGAATTTCTCATATAAATTTAATTTTTCATATTAAATTTACATCATAGATATTCAAAAATATAGAATACAATATTATCAAGGATATCTAATTAATTAATTTACGCATTAATTTACATTTACGTAAATTAGTATAAAAATATATAATACCCCATTTGCAATACAAATATATATAAATATATATATATATATTATATCTATTAAATTATGAAATAAATCCTTTTTTAATTATTTCATTAAAATTTTACACTTCTCTATTTTCAAAATATTTCATTTACATTGGTAGATACTTTAAACTATTATTTTTAAAATCTAATGTTTTAGATTTGTTGATTTTTAATTATGTTTCATTATTTTTTTTAGAAATTGTTACATAAAAAAGTTGTATAATATAAAATAACTCTTATCTTAAGTGTTATTTCAAGCGAAGTCTTATTTTAAGTGAAAAATATTTTGTGATTATAGGAAATTAATTAAATAAAAAAAAGATATATGTTACATTTTTCTTTATGATAATAAAATTAATTTTTGTATTAAATTAAATATAGTAGAGATATAAAGAATAAAACAGAATTGAAAATTAATTGTTACAGAACATAAATTTTTCTCCTTAATATAATAAACTTTACATCTATGATGATGAGAGGAAAAATGTAATACAAATTATTAGCTCATTAGTACGTAATTTGAAAAAATTGTGTAAAATAAAAAATTAAATATAGACGTTCTTTATTTTCAATAAAATCGAAATTTGAAATATGTTCTTAGATTTACATGTGAATTTTGTAGAAAATCCATGTAACAAATTCCAATTCATCTTAAATCGTTAAAAGAAATTCTGAAAAGTTCATCTAAAAGTAACTACGTAACAGATGTGTATAATCTTAATGTGCTCTCATTCTATCATCGTTTCTTTATCATTGAAAAAATTGTTTTCAACCATTACAATCTATATTTTCTTACAAAATTTTAATTCGAATGTATTTTATAATAATAAATATAATAAATATCGTCTTGATAAAACCAGTAAGGTTTATAATATTAAAACTACATTGATTTGATATAATTAAAATTAATTTACAAAAAATTTAAACATTATTATGTAATTATTTATTATGTAATATAAATATTTAATTACAAAATGATGTTGAATTTCTGAATTTAGAAAATAATGAAGAAAATAATAAATTTCAATATATGTTAGATATGGTATTATAAAAAAAATTCTCTCAGATCTATGATAAAATTGTTGCAATATGAAAATTATACTTATAAGCATTAGTTTTTTTTTTACAAATATATATGACCGTGTATAATGTTAATTTTATTTTTCTTAAGATATTTCCATTACAATTATACAACTTAAATATTATATTATTATCCATTAGTTTCTATTGAAATTTTTACATTTAGCAAAAATTACAATTATATAGTAAACTTATATTTACACCTTTATATATATATATATATATTTATTTATAACTGTATAGATTTGACAGAAGATATTTCAATATCATTGTATGTTATAAATAAAGAGTAAAATAAAAATTATTTAGATAAAATTTTTGTTAATTATTGTTTTGAAAATAATTTTAGGGATGGTATTATAATAAATTAAATAATTAAATTATATATAGTTTTCTTAAAATCATGTAAATTAAAGTTTATTTTTTAATAATGTACACATTTTTTCAGGGTAATATTTTAAATTGAAAGTGAAAATAATTTAAAGTAAAAGATTATACTTAATATTTATATTTTACAATATGTTATTAAATTCTAATTTTATTTAAGAATTTAACACTTCCATTTAAATAGTTAAAAATATAAATAACTACTTAAAAAGAAATTGAATGAAATGAATATATCATTTTCTAATGTGTACCAGTAAAATTTACATATGTAATAACAATAATATTGAAAAAATTATTTTTGTGTAATGGTACAGGATTTTAATGTTATAAACCCATTGAAATATTTAATGAAATTCATTATCGTATTAAAAACTCAGTCTTTATTGATTTCATTTTTATTCAATAAAGTATGGAATTTAAATATGACCAAAGTAAAAGATTAACAAATAAATGATTATGTCGAAATATGTCTTTAAAATATTTATTAAATTTTTAAAACGAATTCTATTAAGTGCCTTTATTCAAACAAAATAGACAAATAAAATAAAAATATGCTAATTATAATATATTTTTCAAGAATTTCAGTTAATAATAGAAAAAGAAAGAACTAGTATGAAAAACTAACGATAATGAATTTTTTATTTGAACGTCTTGCTTCAAAATTCAAGGAAAAAATATTTTTTTACGATTTAACAAGCAAATGTTCTGATTTCATAAAAATTATTCATAAATTATAAATTTTTTTTTACGCTGCACTTATATATATATATATATATATATATATATATATATATATATGTGTGTTGTTATCTTAACACATTATAATATTAATAAATATATAATATAATATTTATTTAATTCGATGCAATAATCGAAATATAATATTACGTATAATATTTTGAAATTATTTCTTTATTGCAATATATCGATTTTCTTCTATTTCGTAATATTCGAATATATTAAAAGATTTGAAGTGTTATGGTACAGAGATAACTAATCCGTAACTATTTTAACTCTGTATAAACAATATACTTGTATTGGATAGAACACCAAAATATTCTGATGGTTTAGTAATTTCTTTGTAAGCAGTATTTATGAATCCTTGAATTTATAAATTAATATTTGCGAATAGATGTGTGAAGAAATTTTTACACAAACAACATGAAAATAAACAAACAATGAAGGTAAATTTTGCAAATCGAAGTAGTAACTTTGGACCATTAAAAGATTTTATAAATTAATAATATCATTTTTATTTGAAATATATTATCACCACATAAAAATAAAAAGAAAAGAACAAAATATATATAAATCATGAATTGAAATTAACTATTAGAAATGATGAAATTAGAAAAAGAAAAACATAATTGGTTGAAGTGTTAAAAAGCATAAATTAAAATTGCAACAAAAAACAACAAAAAAAAATTAGTAAATAACATTTGTAATGAGAGAAGCATTATT